CAGAGACCCACAGTACCCAGAGAAAGATAAGTTGGGTAGGTCTGCTAACAGCAGCTAGGTTCAGCCAAAAGTCAAGATAGCCAGACAAGCCCATAGTGATGAGGAAGGTCTGAGGTCAAGCCAGGAAGTCAAGTCAGCACAGCAGGGTCAGGATCAGGTCCAGCAATGGCAGCCAGGTCAGTCACAGTGATCACTAGGCAAGTTCACGCTCATGAAGAAGACGTCATAGGTTGGACAAATGAAAGACAAGCTCACCAAGCAACCTGACTCAACCTGGCATTACCATTCATCTTCATCCTGTTCCATCTATTTAATCTCTATTCTACACAGCCCTGAATTCAAAAGCACCCTTACCTTGTGTCTTCATCCAGAAGATTCAAAGTAGAATTTACTTCAAAGTTTAATTTTTGCGACTTAAAAAATTACTTGCTGAAAGTCAGCCTGAGTTCTACTGAAAATGCTTGAGTGGTGAATTAAAGATATGAGGAAGAAAACCAGCACAGACAAATGAAATGGAACAGAGGAAATAAGACGACAGGAAAACAGGCCAGATAAGAGACTAAACAAGAAGGAAGGGAAGGAAAACTCTTTCGCCTTCTATTAAGTGTTTGGAAAGTAGGGGGAAACATTAACTCTTCAGGAAAATAAATTTTCATAATTCTTCTGCTCAGCTTCGCAGAATCAGTATGATTCATGCTACCAGTCCTTGAAACATGCAAAAATTAAAAGTGCTGGTTAAACCTTACATTCTTGTTTTGCTGCTCAGGTCCCTAATATCATTGTGTGTCTTAGGTGCTTTGGAAAAAATTGCCTGTTGGGGAGATGGAGGTGTATGTCTCAGATACAAATGACTGAACATGGCAGTGCTAAATAATCATACTGCCAGCAAAATGGAGAAGGCAAATAGGGTTGGAGTTTGAAGAAATGAAAAGAGCTTAAGGCAGAAACACAGGAATGTATTGTTAATAAAGTGAGAGAGAAGAAAAATATAACCAAAATCTCCTTTGAGCCTGAAGAAGGCTACTGTGTTTTGAAGCTTTTATAGATACCTACCATCTTCCTAACAGACAATGAGAAACAGAAGAGTACTGAAAGTCTTCTAGCTACCACAGATAATTTTAAAAAGTAACTATGATTACTGTTTTTCCAGCTAATCCTTGTTGATTAAATCATTTTTAGGTGTAGTGATCCAACTACAGGCCTGGCTTTTGTCACATTATTCCCATATATTAATTTTTTTTAAATAAAAGAAGAATCTATGATTTAAAATGTCAAACACTGCTGTTCCTTATTATTAAGCTTAAAACCTTTGGGGATGTTTTTCCCAACTGTAGTTTAATGCCTAAGTAAAAATAACGTCTATTTCCAGATATGCTGCGAACTTGGTAATACAGGGAGGGTCATCCGCTGACACAATATTATCCTGCCAAGCAGAAAAAGCATGATGAGATTCTTATTGCACAATATTTCTCAAAATAAATGTTGAAATTACTTTTGTATCTATTCATAGTGGTAAATTTTGTCTTGCTGCCCATCTTCTTCAAAGAAAGAGCTATTTTTAAAAAGGTGATTTATACAATTCACAAATATTTTTCTAGCTAGTCTTAGATTTTCTATTAATAATTTAAATAGGATGAAGTGACTTGTACCAGAAGAGAAGTAACTGAACATGTCGTTACTTGACAAACAGCCCAGTCAGTATCTGCGTCCTAAACACAAGCATTTGATGGGATAACAACTGTCATTAAAGTAACTATCCAACACCACACTGGACAACAGAAGTAGAATGTTTTTGTCCAGGTTGGTAGAGACAAATCTGCATTATGCTCCTGTTCAAATGGAACTAGAGAAATAGAGCAAGTGTGAATATTGTTAGAAAAAGCACAGAAAATTCCTGACAAGCTCAACTATGATCTTCAGAGGAAAGGATTAGGCCATATCTTAGAAAAATAAACTTTTTCAAAGGGATGAGCTAAAAGGTTCTACCACATCCTTCCGGACTCACTGCCTTTAACTCTTCATAAGACTACATGAAAAGTGAGAATAAATGAGAATTTATTTAAAACAGCCTGTTCGTATTTCCAGGTCCTCTTTTTACATTCAACAACCATTTCAAATAGACATATGTAGCTGTATTAACAACTCTCTTTTAGTAAATCCAAACAGAAATTTAGCATTAACAAACCTTGGCCTTAAGACGATGATGACAGTCCACCACCTATATGTGAAAGGAACTATCTGCAATTCTGTAAAGTGATGTACACTATGAATATGCAAACATTTTTTAATTTGTGTCCTTAGAGATACAAGGTGATTCTACCATTGTGCTATAACTCCAGATACTTAGACACAAAAACTTTGAGAGGGACATCAGCTGGGAACTGAGGCACATTTGGGGGGAAAAAAAAAACACTAAAAAACAAACAAACAAACAAAACCACAAAAGCAGTGGTCAGAAACAGGAGATGGGAAAAGTAAAAAAAAAAACCCAACCAAACAAAAAAACCTCTTTTGCAAAGGGTTCAAGCAGCTGCTTAAAAAAAAAATATCTATCTGCCAACTTATTTGCCTATTCCTTAACTAATTTCAGGCCCATTCCCAAGAAACTACTACCATCCTCATCCCACCAAAGAATAGGAGAGAAACAGGAAGAGGACCTATGCAAGACCATTAGACAAGCTCTTCCTAATAGTTTCGATAGTCTTGTAAAAGAGAAAATTATGCCACAACAGAAAAGAAGGGGTATTGAGACAATTCTTTTTTTACTACAAATTTGTATCATCTCCTCAGGGAAACAGAATGTAAGCCTATAGCTTCTCTTTGTAAAGATTTGCCAAGTTTTATAATCACATAGTTTCTTCAGGCCAGCTGAAGTGTCACTAACCAGAATTGTGAGCAATGAGCAAGTTCTCCTTCAATATCTCCCTTTCTCTCCCCCTCCTTCTGCTGATTTTCATATCCTTCTGTGCACCATAACTGGAAACGGCACATGGTAAACATGGTCTTACTGACTCGTACTTCTTACGAGCCACCAAAAAGCAAGAAAGACTGGACCTCCAAACATTTACTGTAACTCAGAAAAGAAGGCGGAAGAGCAGCAAAACCATAGAAACCAGACTGTTTACAGCAAGAAGGCTAATGGAAAATGGGAAAAGAAAGATGAGATGGTAGACAAAATCAGGGGTATAGATACTGGAAAGTGTATATAAGCTAATAAGGAATTACACAATTTCAAAATATAAAGGTAAAGGATCATTGATTGCTAGTGTAACAATCTAGGAGTCCTGGTTACACTCCAAACCTTTCAGTATATAGTATATGTATAGTATCTTTAGAAAGTTACATAACATCCATCTGTATATATGTACCCACTAATAAAATGTGGTTAATAATATTAATTTAAATCCTATGTGTATGAAAGCAATTTTAAATTCTCATATGGAAGTTTTATACACGAGTGGAATTAAAAAAAAGCTCACTCTGCAAACATACTCTTACTAAGAATACAAGAGGAAAAGATGACCCTCTGTTTCCTCTTAAATATTTACATTCCCACTCTGTCTTTACACAGTTTCCCTCTATAAATCTGATGCATACTGTGACTTCTCAGATTATTTGTCTTTGTTGTCTTCCTCAGACTGATCCTGTGACAAAACACTACAATCCCAATTTGCGATACAAAAGCCAAGTGTCACAAGACATGGTAGCTAACCTATCTAAGCAGTAGCTAAAAGCTTTGCTTTCTTTAACATTTTCAGACCTGTGAATTTATAGCAACCTTCACTACAGTTGCCTGAAATAAACTGCCTCAGCTTAGGTATCACATACTGTACTTATAGAACAAACATACCATACCACACCACATGGGATATCACACTGTACTTATGGTACCTCACACCATATTTTATATCTTCAGAAAAGGGGAAAAGTTGTTGGGCCTATCCATGTTTAAAACACTGCCTGCAATCTGATCAGAGTAATCTTAACGAATCTTGACATAATAAGCCAAGTAAAACCTCAGGGACTGTGGTAAGCATAAGTAGCATCTATACTATGCTAGCAGCATTTCTTAGTTTAAACTGCTATCAACAAAATAATAATATTCCTTTTGCAATAATATTCTTTGTGGAAGGATACAATTAAATCTTATCAGTAGTAGATGGCATTGTGCTCATCAAATCTGATATCACTTCCTGAGACATAAGCTCTTACTACACTATTCTTTTTCCAGTTTGCATCCATTCTTATTGTCCATTTATGAGAAGAATGGATGACAACACGTATTCTGAGGCCATTTGATTAATTTAGACTAAACATGAGGTTCACGAGTTCAGAAAAGATTATTAATTGCGCCCTTAACCATGGCTGCTATAAATTTGCACTTCAAAGTCACTTCACAAACCAACAGAAAGAAGACTAACAGAGTGTTAAAATTTAATGAGACGTCGAATTAGTACTGAGGTACCCGGGTAACAGTGACACGATGTTGTAATTGTAACGAACAAGTAATCTTTTGATGAGGATTGTGTTAGATCATCTTCTTGAAAGACAGGGAATAATAGATAATAACAGAATAATATGAATTCCACATAGTTACCAATATCAGCACATGGTATCTTTTCTACTAACCTTTTCAGTTAAACTACTTTCATTATTAACCTCCTTGGTTTTGCTTGGAGTTTGTACAGTATCCAAGGGGTGGGCAATCTTTTTACATTAATGTTTTTGTAATTAAACAGAGGCCAGGCTCACTTCTGCTCACAGTACACTTACAGATAGTAGATAATATTGGAGATAACTTACCACAGGCAGGATGTATAAAAAGGTTATACGAATGTCTGATTAGAGGATAAAAGCACTATTAGTCATTCTTTCATTCAAAAGAAATTAATATTTACCATGTAGCTTTCTTGGCACATGATTTGAACTAATGAGAACAGTAAATACCTCATTCTGTAATTTAAAAGAAGAATTTTTTTTCAAAGCAGACCTAGACATACCCAGTTGCTGAAAGAGAAGAGCCACACTGGTGCCTGTAACAGGAAGGCTATCATGCAGAGGAGTCTGTATCAGTTGTCGGTCTCCAGCTCCCAAAGAAAACAATTTCTGTAGAAAGAATTTTTTTTAATTGAGTATAAATTTAATTTATATAGAATAAACAAGCTGTTGTCATACAGATAAGTGATTCATCCTGCAAAAATTATTTATTTTGTATACAGAAGTTTAAAGTCAGTAAAAATAATTGAATTGACCAATAGAGATCTGAAATATAATTTGAGGACAATGATATGTCTCCTTGAATGTATAGCACGATAGTGCCTTCCTTGCATTTCCACTGAGTTAGTTAAATAGTTATGGCTTTGAAGGCATTCAATATTAAGTTTTTAATAATACATTAAAATACCTTCCAGGAAAAAAAACAAACAGTTTAAAACCCATTCAAATTAAAAAATATATGTATTATTTTCTAACTGAAGTTCTTCGATATCTACTGTCTGCATGTATGTTTTAAGCATGAACAGACTTGTAATATACGGGTATTGAAGAAGACACTTCTGCTACTCCTATGTTCCCGCTCCGCATATTAAGAGTTAAAACTTCGGTTACCTTTCCAGCACAAGAACATACCTCCCCTTGAGGGAGGCAGTAAATGGGAGTGAAAGGAACGCACTTGTGTATCACATCCCAAAAAGCACTGTAACTGCAAATAATCTTGCTTTCCTCTGAGTAAACCCACGTGACATTCAAGCGGTGGGTGATTTCAAGCAGTCACCCCTAACCACTAACTACGACGGGTGGGGGGTGTTTCTGTACAAGCAGTAAGTGTGGTATAACTCCACTCTGTACGGCACCAAAGATGTTGAATGTATGAAGGTAGCAAGCTCTAGTTGCTGCACAGCAAATGTTTGAAACCAAAATGCCCCACAGTAAAACCAACCAAGTCCCTGAGCTGTAGCAGAGATGCTCTTCCCTAGCACTTTAGCAGCAGACTTGGATGCAGGTCAATAACTAATTTTGCAGTTGATTATTTCAACAGTGGACACATGAATAACCTGGGCCGCTCCTCAAGGACTTCTGGAGATAAACATCAGAAGAGTGTTCTCATTCTAAGATATATAATTCAGATTTAGCCCTGGAAGCATGAAGCTTAAGAAAGAAAACAGAAGAACTTAATTTCTGATTAAAATGGTAGTTTGACACTAGCAAATTTAAGTTTGAACTGAAAGAATATTTTATTTGAAGACAGAAAGCAGAAGGGAGAATAGCCAGAGGAGCATGAATTTTCCTCCCTCTTCTAGCAGAGGAAACGGCCACTGCGGAAAGCTCTATTTATGTATGGGGGTTAAAAAAAAAAAAAAAAAAAAGGAAAAAAGGGGGGGCC